GTGCCACCAAATGTGTTCTGACTTATAATGACCCTATATACAACAGAACAAAACACTTCCTGGTCCTTCACCATCTTCACATTGTTGTTATGTTTGAGCCCACTGATACAGGTACTGTGTCAGTGCATCTCGTTGGAGAGTTTCCTTTTTCATTAACCCTCCACTTTACCATGCATGATGTCCTTCTCCAGGAACTGGTCCTTCCTGACAACATGTCCAAAGTATGAGGGAAAAAGTCTTGCCATTGCCGCTTCTAAGGAGCTATTCTGTTATATCTCTTCCAAAATAGATATGTTTGTTCTGATGGTAGTCCATGCCACTATTCATATTCTTTGCCAACACCACAATTCAAGTATATTGATTTGCTTCCAGTCTTCCTTATTAATTGTCCAGCTTTCACATGCACATGAGGCTATTGAAAATACCATGGCTTGGGTCAGGTGCACTTTATATTCAAGCTTATATCTAAGACCCTTTAACCATTAAAGAGATCTTTTGCAGTATATTTTCTTAATGAAATGCTTTTTTGATTTCTTGAAAACTGTCTTTGACAACTTCCATGTTTTCTTCATTTATCTTGTTATTTATTGGTTTAGTTGTGAGGCTTTTTGTTTTCTTTGCATTGAGTTGCAATCCATACTGAAGGCTGGAGTCTTTCCTCTTCATCAGTACTTCATGTCTTCCTCGATCCCAGCAAGCAGTGTTGTGTCATATGCATGTCTTCTTCTAATCCTGTTACCATGTTCTTCGTATAAGCCAGCATCTCGGATTATGTGCTCAGTATACAGGAGCTCTGGTAGCGTAGTGGTTACGAATCGGGCTGCGAACCTTAAGGTCAGCGTTTTCGAAACTACCAGCCGCTCCGCGGGAGAAAGATGAGGCTTTCTACTCCCGTAAAGATTTACACCCTCGGAAACCCTGTACAGGGTCACTATGGGTCGGAACCGACTCGAAGGCACTTAACAACAACAACAACAACAATAATGAATCTGTTGATATCAATATTTCTTTTAGCACATGCTCTATGTTGGTGACAGATAAACAACATCATGATAAATGGAAAAAACACTGAAGTTGTCAAGGATTTCATTTTCCTTGGATACACAATCAACGCTAGTGGAAGCAGTAGTCAGGAAATCAAAAAGCACAAAGGTGCACCTGATGCAAGCTGTGATATTTTTAATTGTCTCATTCTGGACAATGAATAAAGAATAAAGAAGAATTGATGCACTTAAATTATGTTGTTGGCAAAGAATATTGAAGACTTCCAGATAAATGAACAAGCCCATCTTGGAAGAAGTACAGCCAGAATGCTCGAGAATTTGATCACTTTTTTTTCGCCCTCAGTCTGTGAAATCAAACAACTAGGAGGAAGCAGTTATGCTCAGACTTGGAGGGACAGAAGTAGCATAGGTATGGCATATAGAACCGACTGCTGACGTAGTACTATAGGATCAGCATTGGACTTTGAACCATAAAGTCGGCAGTTCAAACGCACCAGCTGCTCCTCTGAAACCCTCTATAGAGTCACTATAAGTCAGAAATGACTCGATGGTAGTTAACAACATGGCATATAGAAACCCTATAATGCCACTTCCTAGCAACCTGACCTTGGACAAGTTACTTAACGTCAGACATATTTTCCTGTATCTATAGAACAGGTCAATAATAATTATGTTTGTGATGATGATTAGATGCATAGTAACT